TCGGGAGGCTGAGGCTGAGGCAAGAGAATCATCTAAGCCCAGGAGTTGGAGGTTGCTGTGAGCTGTGACGCCACAGCATTCTACCAAGGGCAACAAAGAGAGACTCTGTCTCTATTTAAGAAAAGAAAGAAAGAAAGAAAAAGAAAGAAAGGCAGCGCCTATGGCTCAGTGCTAGCCCCATATACCAACGGTGGCAGGTTGAAACCTGCCCCAGCAAAACTGTAACAAAAAAATAGCCAGGCATTGTAGTGGGTGCCTGTAGTCCCAGCTACTTGGTAGGCTGAGGCAAGAGAATCGCCTAGGCCCCAGAGCTGGAGGTTGCTGTGAGCTGTGATGTCACAGCACTCTACCAAGGGTGACAAAGTGAGACTCTGTCTCTGAAAAAAAAAAGAAAGAAAGGAAAGGATACTGATAAATAGAGGAATTAAGGGTTCTGGAAATACAGAACCTCTGTAAGTTAAAATCCAAGGGACTGTAACAAACTGGTCAACATACAGAGGTGGTCAACACAGGGGACTAGGTAATAACTTACTATGTACTAATGTACTAATGTACTAATTAGTACATTGTACTAATGTACTAATTAGTACAATGTACTAATAACTTACATGTAGTGCTTGTCTGGTCTATGAAAATTAGGTCAACTTAGGGAGGTGGTCAACTATGGAGGCTCTACTGTATCCAATTTCTTTATTTGTGTGGAGGATGTTCACTTTGTCATAAATCATTCAGCTCTATCACTTTCATGTTTTGTTCACTTTTCTATTGCACAATAGATATAACACACGCAGAAAAGTAAATAAAATATAAATATACAGCTGAATGATTTCAGCTCAGGCTAGAAAGCCATGGCCTCAATCTAACTCACTGCAACCTCAGACTAATGGGCTCACATGATCCTCCTGTCTCAGCCTCCCAGGGAGCACCCACCACGACGCCCAGATAATTTTTGTTATTTTTATTAGAAACAGGGCCTTGCTGTTGCTCAGGCTGGTCTTGAACTCCTGAACTGAAGCGATCTTCACGCCTCCTAGAGTGCTAAGATTACAGGCAGAAGCCACCATACCCAGCCACCAAAGCAATTTTAAAGATAAGAAGGCCCTGTGAACAGATTGGGGCACAGCAAAAGATTAATAAATAAATAAAGATTAAAAAGGAATATTATTATAATGTTTAGTAGTTAAGACAATTGGCATGAGTGAAGACAGACAAAAGAATGAATAAGAAAAAAATCAAGAACCCTCCCCCCAAAATTATCTGGTATATAATAGAGGCAGCATTATAATCACTGGGGAACAAAAAACTTGAAAGCATCCTAGGATGGAATCCTGGGAACTCCTAAAGTAAAAGATCTTGTAAGCCTTTCCTTAAAGACATCAAACTGGCTGAAATCTAAGACATAGCCCTGCCCTTTGAGGTTCTGGCGTTTCAGGTTCTTTGGCACTCCTGGCCTGCAGATGACATCTGGAGGGTTCCGGGCGCTTGATGGGGGGACGGGGGGAGTAAGCATGCGCAATGTTCCTAGGTTACGCCGCGGATCCGCTGTCGCGCACGCGTTCTGCACCCGCCGTTCTCCGGTGCGCACTGCGCTCACGCATGCGCCTGTGTGGACGCCGATGCTCATGCTGTCCCGTTATTCCAGTTTCCTGGGAACGGCACGGCTGACTCTGCGGTCCAAGATGTCCGAGCTGCCCGCAGACGTCACTGTCCTGCAGACAAACGAGGCTAGTGGTGACGGAGACGTCCCGCAGAAGGAGGTAGGCAGCGGGAGCCCGGAGCTGGCCGCAGCGCAGCCTGAGGAGGGCACCGAAAGCTCGAGGGCGGAGGCAGCGGCTCCCGAAAACCCGATGGAGGCGGCTCCCAAAAGCGCGATGGCGGCGGCTCCGGAAAGCTCGATGGAGGTGGCTCGGGAAAGCGCGGTGGCGGCGTCTCCAGAAAGCCCGATCGAGGCGGCTGCGGAAAGCGCGGTGGCGGCGTCTCCGGAAAGCCCGGTCGAGGCGGCTGCGGAAAGCGCGATGGATGCGGCTCCGGAAAGCGCGGTGGCGGCGGCTTCTGAGAGCCCGATCGAGGCGGCTGCGGAAAGCGCGATGGAGGAGGCTCCTGAAAGCCCGATCGAGGCGGCTGTGAGAAGCGCGGTGGTGGCGGCTCCTGAAAGCCCGA